AGTGTTAACTTAGGGTTATGTGTGTTATATTAGGGGTGCAGGTCAGCTTAGATCCATTTTTGGGGGCAATATAAAAAAAGGGAAATTGCGGTGTAAAGATAGCAATAAAGAGTTGTGGTTCTCCATAAAATGAATGATGTTTGACCATGAAAAAAGTGTGCCAATTTGTTTTGGCTTGAGTAGACTCCATGTGCAATGTGGCTTCAGTGCAAACCCTCCCACTCATGTCTGCATGAAATCTATTTTTGCACATCTGTACAAGAGACATCAGTTTTAACAGCAGTATTTTAAACATGTTTAGTGGTTTTCAATCAGTACAGAATTGGTCTGAGTTTGGCTAGTTATATTTGTCTGGAGTTCTTCTATAATATCACCTTTCCAAAATACACTAAAGTGTTCACGTATGAAAACAAGAAAAGTAATGATGCAACCCTCCCTGTTCCCAGCGTATCCTTTATTACAATGAATACTAAGTGCACTTTAAAATGCAAATAAAAGTATTTTATAATCCAATTCCATAAATATGCCATGAAGAGAGTGTGCTTCGGAGTTGTAATGATTAGTTAACCTTGGTTTAATGCCTGGTCAGCAGTGGTTCTCGAGAAGAGAGGTAAACTGTTCTCACTAGGTTGGTCATTTATATCCTTCACCTCATTAACATACATAGAAAAGCCATGTCTGCAAAATTACAGGTCTTGTGATATCCACCACGGTCGTCTTTAATATTGATGGGATCCCGGGCAAACATTTGCTGGGATGGATGTAAAAAATATTGCCAGATCCACCCTACCACCTGATTGACAGCTGACTCTGCCTCTCTAGAGGCTATGTCCACCCCCTCCCCCATCCGTCCCTCCAGTCAGCGCTAAAGGATCGAAGAGGGGGGAATCCCTGCGGGGAGAGGTGACTGACAGTCACCACTCTCTGCAGAAAGAGTGAGTGCAGGAACTGAGTGATCAGCAGTATGTGACTGCTCAGTTCTCAATCAATAGAGCCGACTAATGATACCAGGGGGGGGACACAATAATAATGACACCAGGGGACCACAATATTAATGACAACAGGGACCACAATATTAATGACACCAGGGGGACACAATAATAATGACACCAGGGGGACACAAGATGACACAATAATAACACCAGGGGGACACAATAATAACGAGACCAGGGGACACAATAATAACGACACCAGGGGACACAATAATAACGACACCAGGGGACACAATAATAACAACACCAGGGGAACACAATAATATTGACACCAGGGGACAACAATAATAATGACACCAGGGGGACACAATAATAATGACACCAGGGG